TCACTAAAAGCTGATTATTCCCAGGTTAAAATAGGTTTTTTGGCCAGTGGGAAAGCAGTTTAAGTGTATTTTAGACGAGTGAAGGATTTGCAATCTCCCCCTACTGTCTGTGGCCAGAAACCCACACTTGCAGCTGGTATGCCAATGACCCTGTGGCAGTCCGTTTTTGCTTTAGGATGATAAGCTTTGTGGTAGCCCAATGTAAGGCAATTGACATCAACAACCTCTTACCCCTTACAGCGCTACTCTCGGGTTGTCATTATGTGGTGGGTTAGGAGCTGCTTAAACTTTATTTTATGGTGAGTTCAGATCAATAGCGTTTTGGGCTTCAAAGCATCTGATTTAGATGCAGTCTATGGTGGACAGTGTCAATCAGCATTGAGAGGTCCTGCATTGTGTCAGGAACGGCGCATCCTGGCATTCCAGTGTCTGAGCAGAGGAGTTCAGAAATCGGAACCTGTGCAGATTGATGCAGATCCTCAACCAGTTAGAAAAGCTAATCCAAGAATTTTCTGGGAGAAAGACCCTACACGCAAGCAGTGATCGCTTTTGCAGAGCTGTCATCATAGAAAAAATAAATATTGAAGGGGTTAAACTCCAAAGGTTATAAAGAGCCAGGAGAATGGATATTTCTTTTACACGGAAAAAAAAAAAGTAGAGTGTTTTCATTATAATTACTCCACTAAAACATTTGCTTATTGATCTGTGGTGAAACAGTTGATAAATACTTGCATATACTATAAATGTTCAAACCTGCCAGTGAGAAATATTCTAAATTCTGGAACTTGGGGATTTTACTACAAATCTAAAAAAAAAAGCTGCTATGAAAGGAAGATATAAAACACACTGACTGGGATTTCCTTAACTCTGTACCAAAGTCTTTGTTGCCGATTACAGGTTCAAGATGTCTCCCGTTTGAAGAAACTGGTTGTATGCATATTGTTGGATGTGATGTTGGCCCAGTTCTTTTTTAACACATTAAAGGGATAGTTCGGGATTTTTTACATGAATCTGTATGGCATCCCCATCACCAGTGTCATGCAATCACACTGACTTACCCCTGGCAGCGTCCTGTGAGCAGAGTTCTCGTCCAGTTTTGGTCAAGCCGAAAGTAGTCCGGCAGGTTTGCTAACTTTCGGCTTGACCAAAACTGGACGAGAACTCTGCTCACAGGACGCTGCCAGGGGTAAGTCAGTGTGATTGCATGACACTGGTGATGGGGATGCCATACAGATTCATGTCAAAAATCCCGAACTATCCCTTTAAGTCTCATATCCCGAAGGATCTGAATTATCATCCAACTGAAACATCTACCCTTGTCTAATTGCTATCGTTCTCGGGAATGACAGTAGTTTTAAAAAAGTATCTTGTATGTTTTTCTATTCATCCTTTGGGCAGTTACATTAACTCTTTCAATGGTGTATGGTTAAAAAATTAAAAACAGCCCAAAACATGATAATCTGACCTCCATACCACATTGTTGGTGTTTTTGGGTCATTTGCAGTGCAAACATGGTGTATGTTGTAGGGTGCAAATAGTTCAGTTCTTGCAGTCAGTTCTGTTGATTCTTCTCTATATAATCTTGCGGACAGCATCTTTTTATGGCTTTTCTAATGTGTAATGACAATCCCTTCATTTCCAAACTGTATCTCCACCTGATATAAATTTACATTAAGGGGTGTGATTTCTTTCGTTATGGACTTTCAATATCTTGCACCTCCCTTTTTCACGTGTTTAATATTTAACCGTTTTATAAAATTTCTCTTAAACAATTATGGGAATTTAAGGTTTGACATGTTTGCAGATGTTGACATAATGTATGAGTATTTCACGCCAAAGCAAACAGTTAAATAAT